AAATAAAATCCTGGCTACGCGCCTGAGCTGTGTCTGATATGGTAATTTTATGTATATTAATGAACCCTCACTGTAATCGCGGATATTTTTGACCAATCAGAGACGTCTAGTCTGAACGTGTCCACAGACTGGAATACCACGCGCATGTTCGTTACACAAGTAGCGTAAATCCCTCCATTCCACTGACGCGAATTAAGCTGCAAGGTTATGTTATTATTCCGTATGATGCCACCACAAAAAAATGAGTGATGTAGCCTACAAGCTGGACCACTTTCATCGAAAAGTCGAAAAATTAAGTGTCGAAATTCAATCCATATAAAACCTGTGCTTAATTTGATAATCGATGTCAATGTGTTATTTCCTTGGGAGTCCCAAGTTGGGACCATCATTTGTCGATGATGCTGTTTCCCGGCGAAAAGGTAGGCCCACTTGAAGGTATTAACAACTTATTTTACAGGCATGAGACATTTCCGCCGTTCGGTGGATTTCTGACCATTTTAGAACTCAAGAGACTAATTCTGAGATCAGTTTTTTTGTGTGGGGGGGGGGGTAAGAATACCTCCGTGGTCTCTGACGATCGCGTACATGTGAACACACTGTGACTCGGTAACTATCCGGAGTGCTTCTACTCGTATCATTGTCTTATTGTATGCTTGCTAGCATAATGATAAAGGCAGAGTACGGGTCTGTACGGTAAAACTTTAGTTGGCATTCAAGAAACGTGCGTGGGATGTTCGGACGCACAGGTTCCTGAATCCAGTAGCAGCGTTGGCATACCAAAAAAGGATAAGAAGTGGGTGGAGCTTATTTACTTTTGGGTGGAGCTTATATTACTTTTGGCCAGTGGTAGTGAACCTTACATTGTGTTGGCCAGGGTTTATTTACGTGCACGGGTCGTGCGGCACGCTCACTGTTCACGTGCGCTAGGTTGTGGAGTAATTCGCACATCCCCGCGCATTTCACGTTTAGATGTAAACAATAAAGTATCACTGGTAGTTAACAAACGATCAGTATGTACTG